TTGATTGATTGATTGATTGATTGATTGATTGAAAGGAACTGATTCTCCATAGTAAATTTTGCCCACAACAGGTATTCTATTTCTAAAAATGTTTCAAATAAATGCCCACAATCATGGTTCTTTTGAACTTAAATACTTTTAAAAAAATCTTAATTTAACAAGCATAGCCAAGGGTCCAAGCAACTTCTCATACAATCTGTTTTGTTTGGCAACTTCATGTGCACTTTGACCATCTCTGGCTCTATCATCACTTCAAGATCACTCAGCAAAAGTAGTTCACTGTAGTAGTGGTTTAAGATTTGTTACCCCCCATGTATTATTTTGGTTGCATAACATAGAAGTTGTGTTCTCACTCAGCTGTACCTCTGCATAGCTTTCTATCATCTTTAAAGCTCTTTCCATATCCTTGCTTGCATTTACAGTGGTAATCCCCTTCAGTGTTAATGCAGCTTCCCCTGGGACCACAGATGGAAACATTTTGCTTGCACTCATCAATGTCTGCAGGGAAAAAGTAGCGCTAAATGAAACATGGCAAAATGCCACAACTATTATACCAACATCCCCCAACCTGGGTATTCTCCAGAGGAGAATGGACTTCAATTCCCAGAATTCCCCATCCAGCATGGCCACTGAGGATTATGGGTGTTGAGTCCTCATAACTGAAGAGTGCCCAGGTTGGGAAAGCTGTGTTGTAGTAAAGAAGAAATTGCTTAGAGCTGCAAAAGGGCAAGCCATTCCCCGTGCAAGCTATGCAAAGCAGCATGCTGTAACATATGCACTTCAGACAAAAACTCTGAAGTGGTGAATTGCATGAGCATTATGGCTGGGGCACCAAGCTGTTAGCAGAGACAACCGTTTCCTACTTTATTTCTTTGATTTAGATCCTACCATTCTATCCATGGGGCAATCTAAGTTTGAAAAAATAAAAATGTAAAAAGCAGCTCCAATTATTATTACTACAACCCAACAGACCTGGCTGAAGAGGACAGTCTTAACTCTTGAAAGCAACTCCTAAGAGAGCACATTCCCCAGCTTGGCAGCAGGGTGAGAGAAAGCCAGGGCCCTCTTCTGCCGGCCTGACAGGGCTCTGAAATTGGGTTTCTCTTTAAGAGGGCTGTCACAATGACCTACATACTTGAGGAGATGCATGAGACAGGCAGCCTTGCAAATGACCAGACCATAAGAAATGCAGGGCTTCAAAAATTAAAGCTAACATTTCAAACTGCTCTTTCAGAGGGAAGACAACGTTGTCTAGAATACATGAACACTAACCCCAAAGTCTGGTTTCCTACTGAACCACAGTACTTCTAGCTTGCCTGAGCTTATTTTCAGCTTGCTCACTCTTCTCCAGTTCATTCTCACACTCAGGCAAGGATGAACAGAGCTGACCGCTTTTTTGCAGTTAGATGACAATGAGGATTATTGCTGAGTGTTGTCAAATAAATCTATTTTGAACTTCCCTATTTTAAGTAACTGAGAAATCTGCTTAATAGAGAGAGCCAGAGAGAGCCCAGAGAAAGCAGCAAGTCCAATTTTTCAAGTAAACAGAAGCTCAGTTTCAGTCACGGGCACAACATAAGGAAGTGAAGGGTAGGCAAAGCTGGAGCTGTTCCCTCATCATCAGGCATGTATTAAAAATGAAAGTGAAAGGATGGGGATGATGCCCAATATTTCCCTTTCCTGTACAATAATCAGTACTTTTTGTGCCATTCACTGCAAACCCAAACAAAATGGATAACTGCACATGCTAAGCATTGGAAGGACATTGTAGTTCACTTTGCTGTGAATAACCAGTGGAATTCGTAGCAAATCCTCAAGCCCAGTTATTTAATTAGAGTCAAAGAGCTCTGCTATGGATACTAAGACAGCAGAAAAGTGAAAGGGGAACAAACCCCTTTGGAGAAATCACATTCTCTCTTTCATTTTGCAAGAATAAGGTTCTAGCTTAGTGAAACAGATAATGCCCCCATCTGTGATAGCAGCATATACATTATTTTCCTAAAAGGAAAAGGACCCTGAATTTAAAACAATGCCCCCACAAAAGATAACACTAGGAAAAAAAAAAAGTATCAGCCTAGTTTACAGTATTCTCAACAAACCTAAAACTATCCCCTCCCCGAAATGAAAAGGCAAAGGAACAAGCAAGTATTCATTTCAAGATTAAAAAATTCATATTTTTTTAACTTGAAATATTCAGTTGCAAGTAAAAAAACAACATATTCAGCTGCTGCGAGTCAATCATGAAAATCATATTCTGATGCTCTCTCCAAATGTGCATTTTAGTAGCACTAAAATAAAAATAGCATAGAACATTGCTCACTAGCTCAGTATTGGCATTATGTTTACTCCAATTATATTTAACATATCCTTTCTTGATATGTTTCTGGAATGGCCATCTTCGTGGACCATTGGGCTCTGACTGGCTGGTTCTGAAATCAAGAGTAACTGTTGCAGGTCAAGACATCCATAGCTCTACTTCCACAAGTCAGTTGGGAAACTCCAAGGAAAGGTAGCTGAGTTTGGAGAATTCTTCTAAAATAGGAGTGCCTAACCTTAGGCCGAGGTATGCATAGCGCTCACAAACATCTTGAATATGGCCATTCCATAAATTACCATCAAATTATAATTTTTAACAGGACAAAAAGAGGAAATAAGTAAGCACATGCAGAGTATTATATTAGTTTGTACCAATTATTTTAATTATTTTAAGATCGATTAAATCAAATTTAAATTTTGTCCTAGTTTGCATACTTTTTGGAGTGCAATCCCCAGCAGACCCAAAGCCTAGTGGACAATGGTTTCCTAAATTTGTTGGGCCCACTGCAAGATCTCAAGCTGGTCAGAAATTCATGCTACCCCAAATGTTTGAAGCAGGTTGGGAGGAAAAAGTACAGGTGGTAGGACAGCAACTGAACTTCATCCTCTTGCACATCTTTGTCTATGGATGCGGCAAACTCTCTCCTTTCAACTCAGGGTGGAAAGACACAAATTTATTGAGAGTTGGCCATAGCCATAATCAGCATAACATTACAGACTTCTCCCTCCACAGTAACTCTCTTTGCTCATGGGCTGTCAGTGCTTTGCCTGGAATAAGCAAGTGTGCCATGCATAAAGAAACAAGGGCTCCAGAAAGCACTTACCTTTACAGTTATTTTCATTCATGTTCTTGAACCTACTTTTCCCATTAGGTAACTGAAATCCCGATCTGCATTGGCAGAAGTAGTCCCCACAGTCCAAATGACATATAGCATGTCTTCCACACGGTTTAGAACTGCAGCTATTAATAACTAGAAGAAGACCATTAGAGAAAAAAATAATTTGACATCAGAATTTAATCCAGTGAAGAAATTTATTTCTGATGTCAAATTATTTTTATTATTTTAATAAATTTAATAAAATTATTTTAATAAATAAACAGATAAATAAATTATCTGTTTATTTATTAGATCAATCTCAAGAGGGAGGAAAGGAAGGGAAACTAGTCGATCTGCAGAATCAGACCGAGAAGAAATGTGGATAGAGATCTTCCCATCAATACAGGGAGCATCCACATTGCTGGGGTGGGAAAAATGTGTCCCCTTTTTGTTTTTATATTGTGTCTTTCCAAAATTGGAAATAAGAGAGTTTGATCACTGCCATATGAAAGTTGTTCTTGCATTATGATCTGTTGCCCTGTTTTAGCAGTCATTATTAAATAGTGAAATGTTTGGTTTATTTAGAGTTATTCTGATCAGGCAGAATCAACACTGGCCATTTCCTATTTTAAGGTTGAGCGTTGGATACCAAAGTTAAGGTACCATATCCATGTTCTAGGGAACTGTTTTTGCTTCCATTCATCCTATCAAAACCCTCTCTAAGCTGATGAGAGACAGTAGAAATAACAGTGCCATTTCTAATTGCCCTGGGCATGGATCTTAGGCTCAGAGTCTCCAGAAACTGCAAGCAGGGGTCATAAACAATCTGCAGATTGTAACTCTGATGCTGGCAACAGCTGGTCATTGCTCCCCCAACCCTCCACCCAACCTTATGGAAAGCAAGATGTCCAATTACCACAACATTTTCGATCATCCTGGCACAAGCGATATCCTGCTATACATGCATCGTTTTCACTTACTTTCATGTAAAAGCGGCAAGCTGTTTAGAATACACAGAGGGAAGAAAGGAATTAGTTAGACTGGATCCACACTATAGGCCATGCTATAGCATGCCTCTTCCAAACTGGATTTATTCTTTTGCAATGGCCTCCAAAGAAAGTATAAAATGCCCATCAACAGTCTGCAAAATTAAAAAAGGAACCAAACACCATCTTGCCTGTCCTGCCCCAAATGCCTTGTCTTACCATTGGGCATAAATGGGGTTCAAATATATTCCATCTGATGAGAAAAAATTGTTGCCCTCCATCTCAGTCCTGGACAGAATATATTATAATAGGATCAACAACCCTAGAAGTCAGGGATATTCAGCTAAGCCCAATTTTCTTGTGTGATAGAATTTGAAATGAATTATTATTGGCTGGCTTGGGACCCAGTAGCCAACAAATAACTAATATTTTTGGCAGATTCTCAAATTCTCCAAATTGTAATTTTTAACAGGAAATACAGATAATTAGATAGATATATAGAACATTACATCAGTATATGTCAATTAATTTAGTTCCAATCAATTTCAATTAAATCAGATTTAGATTTTGTCCTAGCTTTATCTACATTTTGGAGTGCAAACCCCAGCATACAAAAGCCTAGTGGGCAACTGTTTCCTAAATTGGTTGGGCCCACTGGAAGATCTCAAGGAATTGCTGCTGGTCAGAAACAAACATTGGCAAACAGGGCTTCAGAGATTTAATTGGCTTAATGCATGCCAACCCCAAAGATTGAAGCAGGGTAAAAAAAAAAAGGGGAGGTCAGGAAAAAGTTCAGGTGGCAGGACAGCAGCTCAAATTGGCTATGGATGCAAGAAACGCTTCCTTTCAATTCTGGCCAGAAAGACACAAGTTTACTGAGAGCTTGCTATAGCTGTCTCCAGTTCTGCAGCAGAGTAACATGACCGACTTCTGCCTCTGCAGTAACTCTTTTTGCTCAGGGCAGGATGGCTGGAGGAAGCGCGTGCGTCATGCTTAAAGAAAGAAGGGCTCCAGAAAGTACTTACATATACAGTCATTTTCACTGCCATTGTTGAAAGTTTTATTCTTATTTGTTTCTCTCCAAAATAATGGTTCGCAAGAGCAGCTGCCATTCCCATAGTCATTGTCACATGAAGCATTTTTTCCACAGTCATCGTTTAGACATTTATTGACAGCTATAAGAAAAACAGTAGACCATTAGGGAAAAAATATATCAGATTATTTTCAAAAGTTTTTTTCAATGGCCAATCTATAGAGGGAAGAAGAGAAATGAAAAAAAGTGTGCCTTGAAGCTGAAGTCATGCAGTCTGCAGGGTCAAACTGAGAAAAAATCTGGGAGGACATTTTCCCATCACTCCATATATTTGCTGATCAATACAGGATGCATCCATGATGTCCTGTAGGACTGCTGTGGTGAGAAAAATATTGTGTCCCATTTTTCTTTTCATACCATGCTTTTCCAAAATTGGAAATAAGAATCTGATCATTGCCATACAAAGTTGTTCTTGCATTATGATTATTGCCCTTTTAAACAAAAATTATTAAATTATGAAATGTGTGATTTGTTTAGAGTGATTCTGATCAAGCAAAACTAATAACGCTGGTAATTTCCTATTTTATAGTTGAGGAACTGAGTCTTGGAGACCAAAGCTAAGGTACCATCTCCTTATTCTGGCGGGGCAGGGTTTGGGGGTTTTTTTTGCTGCTGCTACTGCTCTAACAACATTTTTTCCTTACTCCCCCACCCAACCCCCTAGTTCAATATTAGTTGAAGAAATCTTATAGAAAACAAGATGTCTCGTGCCTGCAACATTTTCCATCATTGCCCAGGCAATCCTGATGCCCTGAGTCATAGTCATCAGTGCCTGCATCAGATTTGCTCTAACAGTTGCAATGTGTTTAGAATATACAGAGATAAGAGCAACATTAGTTAGAAGAGGTCATGTTATTGCTTGTGCTATAGCATACATCCTCCAAGCTGGATTTATTCTTTTGTCATGGCCTCCAAAAGAAGCATCTCCTCCAAAAGAAGTATCAACAGTCTGCAACCCAACCCACACAGAGAAGAAGATAGCATCCTGTCTATTCTACCCCAAGTACCTTATATTATTCTTTGGCATAAATAGGATTCAGATATATTTTAACTCATGAGAACATACTGTTGCCCTTCATCTCAGTCTTGGACAGAAGATATTACGACAGGAGCAACAACTCTGGAAATTTATTTCTGTAATCTAGGATTTTCAGATAACCCCAATTTTCTTGAGTGTCAGGATTTGAAATAAATTGAGTGTCTTGGTGCTGAGTGCTCTATGAATGCCTAATATGTTTGGCAGGTCCTGAAAATGTGTTTTGGGGTAACTGAGATAGGATTTGTAGTGTCTAAAATAATCCCAGTCACTTGAAAGGCCATGGTTCATAGTTCTAGAGTAAGGAGATCCAAGCTTATCTAAGTCTCCCATTAAAAGCAAACTGGTTTCAAAAGTATATTTCCAAATAGGCAAGCAAACATCTGCCTTAACTATCAACAATTGGACATTTTCTGCATTAACTGTTAAGATTTAACTACAACAGACTAACTGTATTTAGCTCTTATTATTTCATATTGATTTATTCTGTTTCCCCATCTCTAAACGGCTTTAGACATCTTCCAAAGTTACATCTTACTCGCAGAAAGTATTGCCAAATTTATAAGAGGTAGGATGTACTTAGAATACAGCTTGGTTCTGAAATTAGTTACCTGTGCATAAACAGGATGATGTCAGGGGTTCTCTAACTATGAATATAATAAACTAAGTGTTGGCAAGACAAGGAAACATTTAACTTTTCTACTTCTTCAGAATTCAAACTTTGAGTTAAGAAGTTGCAATTCTGAATGTATTACAAAACTGGGGTAGACAGATTTACAGTCCCATTTGTTTTTACTCACAGTCCTGTAAAGTATTTTACATGCAGTTTAACCAAGAAGCCCTGATAACCTCTGAAATCCAATATTTGTGCTGCTGCTTCTTCTGCACAAGGCTTCATCCCCAGTTCTGAGTTGTCAACCACACCTGACATGCATCTATAGTGCTATTCAGCTTCCACTCTGGTTCCCCATCTTTTCTTTTCCTGCCATTCTAAGTGGAGAGAACCAGTTCCACCCCAACTGCCCACAGAGGTCCCATGATGTTCTCCCTTGAAGGTGTGTCACATTTAGGCTCATTATTTATTTGTCATACTCAAGAACACCAGATGCCCACCTAAAATGTCTAGAACTAAAACTAAAATCCAAGGGTGCATATTCACATGAACTCACCTGAAACTCACCATACCTTTATAAGACATGCTTCCCTTATTTCTGCTTTCAGTACCTCTTGGTCTGAATAAGATCCCCTTGAATTGCTTTCTGTATGTGGCTGTACATATAGCACAACAGCTCTTCCTTTCGGAATTTCAGCCTAGTCTACACTACTCAAGAGTAGGGCTACCAGTACTGGACTCAAAGAATTAAGAGTCTTCTCTACTTTGCTGATATTTAGTAATCAGATTTTTGCAGTCCAGTTTTGGTACACCTACTCAAGAGAAAGCAAATTTGTTTATCAGCAGTGGTTTTAAATGAACTTTCTAATGCTTGTAAGGACTCTTTGATCTGAGAGAAACTTACCTTCATTATGAACCAGAATTGATTGGAAAATGGAAATAAGGAAGCCTGAAAAGAAAGAGAGAGAGGACAGGGTCAGAGAATGCCCAATAGTTAGTCTTATTCCATATGTATTGACCTTCCCCAACTTGGCACCCTCCAGATATGTTAGACTACTTCACCCTCCAGCTCCAATTTGCAAGGCCCAAGATGGTGAGGTGTAAACACACTTGGAGGGCACCAGATTGCATACTAATCTTTCCTCCAAAGGGATCAATGGCAGGATGCACATCTCTTCCTATTTTACCTCCACAATTTTGTACTGGCAGAATAAGCTGAGACATACACACTGCCCAAGGGCAACCACTGAGTTTCATAATCTAATGGGGATGTGAATCTTGTCTACTGGTCTTTGTCCATTACAGTGCACTGGC